GTGGGTTGCATGGGGCAAGGGGGCGAGTAAAACGGGGGTTCGTGTATGAGTTGCTTGTGGCGGGGGGGCGAGTGAACGGGAATGCATGCATGTCCGCTGTCGTGGGTTGCATGGAGTGAGGGGGCGCGTGAAGCTACGGTGCTAGCTTGCATGCGTTCGAGTGTGGATTGCATTGGGCAGGAGGGCGCGTAATGTGGGGGTGCGTGCATGCGTGCGTGGGTTGCATGGGCCAAGGGTGCGAGTAAAGCGGAAATGCATTCATGTCTGCTGGCGTGGGTTGCATGGGGGAGAGGTCGCGTAAAGCTACGGGTGCTTGCATGCGTGCGAGTGTGGGTTGCATGGGGCAAGGGGGCGAGTAAAACGGGGGTTCGTGTATGAGTTGCTTGTGGCGAGGGGGCGAGTGAACGGGAATGCATGCATGTCCGCTGTCGTGGGTTGCATGGAGTGAGGGGGCGCGTGAAGCTACGGTGCTTGCGTGCGTTCGAGTGTGGATTGCATTGGGCAGGAGGGCGCGTAATGTGGTGGTGCGTGCATGCGTGCGTGGGTTGCATGGGCCAAGGGTGCGAGTAAAGCGGGGTGCGTGCATGTGTGTAGGGATTGCATGGGCCGAGTGGGTGAGTAAAAGCGGCAGTGCTTGCATGCGTGTGTGTATGGGTTGCATGGGGCGAGGGAGCGAGTAAAGCGGAGATGCTTGCATGCGTGCATATGTGTGTTGCACGGAGCGAGGGGGCGTGTAAAGCGGGAGTGCTTGCATGCATGCGTGTGTGGGTTGCATGGGGCGAGAGGGCTTGTAAAGCATGGTTGCTTGCATCTGTTGAGATAACTGGCTGCGAGGCGGAGCGTACTGCGATTGACCGTGCGTGTGTTGCATGGGGCTAGGGGACGAGTAAAGCGGGGGTACGTGCATGCGTGAGTGTGTTGGTTGCATGAGGTAAGGCGGCGCGTAAAGCGGGAGTGCTTGCATGTGTGCGTTGGTTGCATGGGGCGAGGGGCGGGGCAAGTAAAGCGGGGGTGCGGGCATGCCTGTGTGGGTTGCATGGGCCGAGGGGGCGCGTAAAGCGAATTTGCGTGCATGTGTGTGCGTGTGTGGGTTGCATGGGGCGAGGGGGCTTGCGAAGCATGGTTGCTTGCATGTGTTAAGAAAACTGGCCGCGAGTAGGAGCGCACTGTGATTGTCGGAAGATGAAGTCCCCACAGAACCGCCACAGGAGCCATGGAATATGGTAGCGTATGTAGATATATAAGTCCAGTACTGGTGCTGAGGGTGAGTAGGGCGTAAGAAGCACTCTCAGAAAACGACCGGACCTAGGGCTTGCATGTGCTTGTGTGATGCACGGGGCGAGGGAACGAGTAAAGTGGGAGTGCTTGCATGCATGCGTATGTGGGTTGCTTGGGTTGAGGAGGCCAGTTAAGTGGGGGTGCTGTCCCGCACGCTGCCCTTCTCCCACCGCCCCTCTTTTACTTGGCGCTCCTTGCGGCCCTCCTGCATGCGGCTGTCCTCGTAATGGCCCTCCAGCACACAGCGCCCCTCCCACACGCTTAAACACACGGCGTACCTCCCACTCGCTCGTATGCGCACAGTGCCCCACCCTATCACCCTCCCGCACGCAGTCTTTGTCCCACTCATCCATCATGCTACACTCATCCATCATGCTACGCTCCTCCCATTTATTGTCACGCACGTGACACGCCGTGGCCCTTCCACTCGCTCTCACTCTTGCTATCACATGACGCACCTCTTACTCGGCGGCTTCCCCCCCTCCTTTTTTGCAGTAGGAGGTGGTACCGCTATTCCTTCTCCTGTCATAGCAATACTCGTGCACAGTTTCAAACTGGCTTCCCCGTTTATATCGCTTTGATTTACTATCGTAACGAGCCACTTCCACCTTGGACGGCCAACCGGCTTCTGACAGCGTCGTATGCTAGGGTATGTGCTTGAATTGGTTGGACACATTTGTATTCGTGTGCAAGTCGGTTCCTTGCCTGAAGTCGAACCTAAAGCGCACTCGCCTGCTGTGCTTTCCAGCGTGGGCTTCCTACATAGCTCCGTCCTGCATTGCTCCGGCGCCAGATGTCGCTTTGAAATGAGGCGAAATGTGGTCGTTAGCGGGGCCGTCTTTCCAAAGCCGCCTCTTTGGTGCTTTGAGTACCGTGTTTTGCGTTGTACATTGGTTGCCATTGGCAAGCCGTTTCGGCGACTTTTTCGCGTACACATCTTAGGGCTCCATCTTCGCGGTGCCTTTGCCTCGAAGCAGCATTTCCGGTGCGCTAAGTAACGTGTTAAGAACTGTACTTTTAGTGGCTTTGGCAGGACGAATGGGCGACTTTTTTGCGTTACAGACACGCATCTTAGGGCTCCAACTTCGCGGTGTCTTTGCCTCGAAGCCGCTTTTTCGGTACGTTAAGTAACGTTTTAAGCACTGTATTTCTTGTGGCTTTGGCGGGCCGTTTGGGCGACTTTTTTGCGTTACAGACACACACCTTAGGGCTCCAGGGTGGGCGCCCTGACCGGCCTTTCCTCACCCAGCGCTCAAAACGCCGCCCGTGATGCATGTGGCGCTTGCGACCTTCAAATGGGTTCGGAAAACGCCACTTGGCGACGCGTTGCGCGGCCGAGTGGAGAGAAAACAGCCAAAAACAAACGGCAAAACTCATGTTTTGGGTGGGATTTGAACCCGGGCCGCGAATTTTAGCGCTCAAAACGCCGCGTCCCTGTTAAGGCGCTTGCCAAAAAAATGTGAGCACGAAACCCCCCCTCCCTATTGATGCCTTTCCTTCGCTGCTTCGCTAGCTCCGGACTCCGTCTACGACGTCGGCCTCCGACGTCGCTACATTGCTCCGGCGACGACGTCGGCCTCCGACGTCGCTACATTGCTCCGGCGACACACGGACAGGGGCAATCTGCTGGGCGATGAAGAATGTCCGTGTGGCCGGCTGTCCGTGTGTGCGGTTGGGGGCGGTTGTACTTGGTGGTTGGTGGGGTGTGTCCGGCTGTCCGTCTGTCCGCCTGTTTTCGGAGCCGGGTCGGGGGTTCGTAAGGTGCCATGGAGCAGCGAAGCCCCCCCGAAGCCGCTTCGCGGCGGGGGCTCCGCCCAAAAAGACAAGGACAGTGCGTCTAGTTATCATGCGCCATTTAAAGACAGTCCCAGCTGTCGTGTTATCGGCAAGATGATGCCACTGCGTTGTCAAGCGCATTCTTGAACACAGACGCATGCCGTTCGGACCATGTCACTTGTTGGGTGCTTGTTGTGCCTGCTTGGCCTTGTTTTCCTTCCAACAAGGTGGACAGGTATTGCTGCAGCTCTGCTTTCGGTTTGTACAGCACTTGCCTGACTTGTGCCTTTTTTAGGTGGATGCGTTTTGAGGCAAGGTGTGTCAGCAGTGTGTCAACCAGAGCAGCTTTTGTAGTGAGGGCGGGACGGTTGGCCAGCGCTGCTACTTCCTTAGCAGCTGTCAGTACAGCGTCAGAAATTGACATGGGGACTGCTTTGTCCTCTGTTCCCATAGGTGACAACACCGCTTCTGCTGCAACATTCTGCGTGGCTGTGGGATTTTGTGTTGGCAGGGGCTGCTCCGTTGTGGGCACAGCGGATGCTTCTGTTGTTGGTTTGCCAGTCGTTGACGCTTTGGTTGTATTGGGCACATGCGGGACGTGGTTGCCAAGCTTTCCCAAGAGTTGCAAGACGCACACTTTTAATTCTGGGCTGGGCCGCATTAAGGCATTGTATACCTGATCATGTGCAGCAGCTTTGCCTTGACGTGCAAGCTCTGTTACTAGGGCATCTGCAATCTGCTTTTGGCTCTTAAAGCGTGTGTGAGAATGGTGAGGCATGCACAGCCTCTCTGCAGTTAACAGCATCTGGTCGCACAACTTTAGCGACGCTGTTGGGCTAGGCTTGGGTTTCACCGCCGATTGAGGAGTGGTTGAGGTTCGTTTCATGCTTGCATGTTGGTGTGCGCTTGGTGCGGGGTCTGGCAGTGGATGTGCTGGTGTGCTTTGTATGACTGCTTCGTAATGACCCGCATAAAATGCAAAGTGCATTTCTTCGCTATTGCCGCCATACGAGTAAGGAAGGGCACGACACCCAGTGCTATCGGCATGCCAGACAGTGAGGTTGCATTGAAAGGCAACCGCCACCCAAAGTACGATGTTTTCATCCGCCCATGCCGCTCTAATGACAGGTCCTTCCCCTTGTGACAGCATGTCTGTGCAGTAAGCAGCCACAGCAGCGCTTTCTGAAGGTGCTGTGCGTGCATACCTTGCCTCGTTAGCAATGACTGTGGCTGTATTGGCAGCCAGCGACACGTGTGGATTGTTGATTTGGAACTGCGCGCGAACACCATGTCTAAGCTCTTCGTGCGGCGTGCCTGGGTCCAACATGCGCGCTCGTTCGCAGGCTTCCACAAAAACGCCATAACACCGGCGAAATTCACCAATCCCCGCTTGGCGCACTGCTGGAACAACAGCCAACGAAAGGCATCAATGAAGCAATCGCCAGAACGATAGCCAACAGGATGGCGACGAAGGCCATGTCGGGCGAGGGACGCCTCAAATACGCCAAACGAGCAGGTCGTGCGATCCACTTTTCAGCGTTGGGCGTTGAACGAACGAAATGAATGAGCGAACGAACGTAAATGCGAACGTAGCGGGTCGATGCCCACTTTGTGGCTGTGCGGCCGCCGCGGCACCGGCCGTGTTTTCTATTGGTTCGGAACTTTAATATTTACATTATAACAGAGATAGCAGCTTTACAAGTTCAGTTCTTTGCAAAAGGCAAGTCAGCCTAGAGGGAGGCAGAACATGAGACAACTTAGCTCTATTCATGGCTTATGGGCTAAACGTCGGTTATAGCTTTACAACACAACACTGACATTGCTATGCGAATTACGAATCACCTGGCATACTCTGCACATGAAGAGTTGTGCAGAGTACGAGAGCCCAAAAATATAAGTGTCCGAAGTATGGCACCATACGAGCTACGCAACGAGTTAGGTATATCGGTAGGAATGCAGCTATTCAGCCCTTATCGATAGGCTATAACGTGAAGCAAGTCTCTCGCAATTACCTTTCGATAACACGCTCAGACTGCACGACTCCTGAAGTAGGCAAGCCGTCACCACCGCTAAAGCGGTGCTAGCTAGGGCTGCAAATGTCTTACTCTGCTGGAGCTGGCATCTTTGGAGGAACCTTGCGCATGCGGAGTGCGTTCTTTCTTGCGGTGGTCCTAGTGTAAGTCCATGTATCTTTGATACGATACGCTGCTTCTGCACTAAAACGCGCTCTGGAGGTGACTGCTTTACACTTCTGACCTTTGCCTTAGGGCTGCGTGGTCGGCGGGAAGCACCGACGGCGGTGAGCAATTGCATAGTTGGACTAACGAAGTGTTTCATTGCCCATGGGATCCTGATTCGTTATTCTGCATTTGAGAAGTTCTAATTAACTAGAACCCCTGGGCGCTCCGGAGGCGGTGCTTAGCTTTAGTCTGTCATACCTACCTCTCAGAGCAATGTGCCAGAAACTATTGCCGTGTGCGTATGAACGGGTTGTACCCTCTTCTTTGGTGTTGCATTATGATCCTTGCATGCATGTTGAATCTGCACTCTTGACCCGTCGTCGTTTTCTTTTATCCTGCATGCATGTTCGCCGGCGGCGGACTCCACGTTCTACGCTTATTCTCGGCTGGCGGTCATTCAACCTCTCGCAGCGAGTAAGTCTTTCAGTACATTTCTGCTTAATTTGATGTTTTTGAAGGCAGCTGAGCCACGTACGTCCGTGTCTGCCTGCTGTTAAATAAAACGGTGAAGCATAGGACTAGGCCAATGAAATCAAAGCACAGTTGTATATCCCTTTGCTAGCCGTACACGGATATACCCGTTGCTAAACACGACCAGTCACCGCAGTCAGGCTGTTGTGGCCGCCTCATACAGCAACGGGACAGTAGTAAACTAGGAGCACACCCATGCTAAACACCATAACCGGATTGCGTACAACACACGGGTGAACAAACTGATAGGGAGTCATGTATACGTGATAACTGGCCCTCCCTTCCTCACACTTCATTCTCACGCTTTACCCCCCCCCATACGTGCTGCCCGCCCCTTACACCCTGCTATCTATCCCCTCTATCGTATCCCTGTGTGCACGCTCGCCTCTAGCTACATGCACAACCATACAGGGCTTTACGGTTACACCTGACAAGGACTACACGCCAGGCCCGCTCAACGATGGCCTGCCGTCCTGCAAGGAGTCTTCTACTTTCATACCGTTATCATTCTGGTTGTCAGTATGTGAGGATGAGAACGTCGACTGTAATGCGTTGTCGTACGTTCCAAGTACTGAGACGGTTTGCTTCAGGAAGGGTAGAGCGCCCCTTGTAGATGCACCTGGGACGTGCTTCTACACGGCAGACAACATCACAACAGGTGTGTGAGAATGAATGCTTGCGAATGAATGGGAATGGGAATAAATGGGAACAAACGTACGTACGAGGCTTGATGGCTTATCTCCGTACACACATGCATACTATTTGGCTGGGTAATTTAGATCGAACCAGTCAGCCATACGTGTATGCCAGCATGCATGAACCGCCGCGCGCTCTTTGCCTATTGAGTTGCTCCTGCTGAGGATGCGCGGACCAGTGTTTGTATGTATATATGTACTGCTCACTGGCACCACGCACGTCGGCCTAAGTTGCATGCAAGTTGCATGCATGCATTCCATAACTGACAGTTTACGAGGCATTGCATGGCATGTAATGACGAGTGCTCGTTTCTTTGTGTGCACGCGTGCTTGCGTGCATACTTGCAGCTGACTGCCCGAGCATGGAGGGATATATAGCCACCCCGAATGTGGACCTCAATGTCAACCCGGATGTGGAATACGACTGCATGGTGGGGTGTGCCTTAATTCTCATGTTGCTTGCGTATGTGGCCGACATATCCTGCTGCTAGTAACTAATACTGTTTAGGCTTATGGTCTTCTACGGGCTAGTTGCTGCATGCATGTTGCTTAACAACACTGTCGTCGGCCGGATCGCCTTTCCATCTACTCTGCAGTCCTTCAGTGCCATCAAGGTTGTCCCTTCCTTCATCACCGAAAACGGCGCCGCTGCTTTTTCCTTCACCCCTTTTACAACGACAAAGTATGGGTGCGTTAAATATGTGACTGGGCCATTCATCGCGACGCCAGGCCATTGCTTCTACACACCAGGTGCGCCTGTCTTGTTTGAGAGCCTGATTGCGGTTCCACAAGCGACTGCCAACTAGTATGGTAGTAGATAGTGCTGAGGTAAACTGCTGCATGTGACCTAGCTCCATCCCCTGCGCACGGCACGCTTTTGCCATGCATGCATACATACGGCGGTCATTAATAGTTGCTCACTTGGAAATTTCATCCTAAGGCATGCATGCACGCACGCCCACGGCACATGTACATCGAAGCTTCCTTATCAAGCTTATATATCATTATATAAGCTTCTTGCATATGCTACATACTAATGGTATTATCCTGCTGGCAGTTATTAAGTCGCCCTACCCTCCGCCCGTCCCTACTGCCTTTGACAGCACCAAGTCTGCCTTCCCCGCCTCCAAGTCCCCCACCCTCGCCCCCGCCCTCCCCGCCTCCGAGTCCCCCACCTTCGCCCCCGCCTTCCCCGCCTCCGAGTCCTCCACCTTCGCCTCCGCCTTCCCCGCCTCCGAGTCTCCCACCTTCGCCCCCGCCTTCCCCGCCTCCGAGTCCCCCACCCTCGCCCCCGCCTTCCCCGCCTCCGAGTCCCCCACCCTCGCCCCCGCCTTCCCCGCCTCCGAGTCCCCCACCTTCGCCCCCGCCTTCCCCGCCTCCGAGTCCCCCACCTTCGCCCCCGCCTTCCCCGCCTCCAAGTCCTCCACCCTCGCCCCCGCCTTCCCCGCCTCCGAGTCCCCCACCCTCGCCCCCGCCTTCCCCGCCTCCAAGTCCTCCACCCTCGCCCCCGCCTTCCCCGCCTCCATCACCGTCGCCACCCCCTCCTCCTCCTCCCCCACGTTCAAGGCCGCCACCGGTCAACAGCCCGTTACCGCCTAGCCAGGTTTCCCTTTCCCAACCGCCACCCAATTCGCCAGCACCCAACCCATCAGCCCCGCCGCCTCCCTCCCTGTCCACACCCCTGGCTACTGCAAGACCCCCACCACCTTCAATCCCATCTAGCATCCTTTTTCCTCCTCCTCCCGTTCCTTGGCTAATAACACCTTCACCCTTATCTCTTCCCTCATCACCCGCGCCTCCGCCGCCGCCTACACCAGCAGTCCCTTTCTCGCCTCCGCCTCCTCCCTCCCCGACACCGCCCCCACCTCCTCCCTCCCCGACACCGCCCCCACCTCCTCCCTCCCCGACACCGCCCCCACCTCCTCCCTCCCCGACACCACCCCCACCGCCTCCCTCCCCGACACCGCCCCCACCTCCTCCCTCCCCGACACCACCCCCACCTCCTCCCTCCCCGACACCACCCCCACCGCCTCCCTCCCCGACACCAACCCCACCTCCTGACGCGGTGATGTACTGGGCTACATCGGCTGCTGGTCCCAATGTAAGTGGATATGGCTGGCTAGGGATACTGGGTCTCCATCAAGGATTCAGCATGGGACATCAGCATGCGCGGAGCGAGGCTAGCTAGGTACATAGCTCGATAGCTCTCGATTACCTGCAAGCAGTGCATGCATGCTGGGTCAGCTAAAGCAGTAGTGTGCAGCATGTGTGACCCCGCCCCCAACACAGCAGCCCGATGATCTTCCTTGCTTGTCGGTATGTTGTTGCATGATGACCCGGCGCACTTATACCGGTATGCTTGCAAAATGAGGTGTCGAATGGTTGCATGCAGCTTGTACATACAGGAATGCACTCTGATCCCATGCGCACCGCACGCACTGCGTGCGAAGCCTTGGATGGCGGCCCTACCTAGCCAGCTTCCTGTCTTGGTTCGTTGTCCTTTTTTCCTACCGTGCTCGCACGCCTCTTTTGGTGCTATCTAGCCGCCGTCCTGCCTCATGGCCTCCTCTATCCACCTCCGCTCCTCTATCTCTTCTTTCTCCTCCTTCCATTACCATACCACGCACGCCGCCCCTCCCCTCCCAGGACCCATCCGGCTCCAGCACCAGCCCTGGCTCCGTGAGCCGCCTGGTGGGGGCGCCTGGTGCCGATGTGACCAGGAAGAGCCGCACATGCAAGGCAGCTGCTCCCCTCGCCTGGGTGCCGACACTCGCGGTAAGCAGCGAGTCTGGGGCTGCCGGGGCACAAATTGAAGCCCTGGCATCTATATCACCAATTACGTTAAATAGATAGATAGGCGGACTTGCTTGTTTGGCTACGGTACCTATCTACCATGCATAGAGCAGGTGATGACTATCGATCGCTAATCTTGCTTGCTTGGTGTATGTGTTGGGTCACACAAGGGAGGTATGTAGGATGGGGAGGGAGCGAGAATGATGAGCCATTTGATATTGACCGCAGCACTCAGCTAGATGGCAGCACGCAAGCAGCAGCACCTCGCAGCTGTCCTGAATCGCATGCAGGCACATAGATGTGTACGGCCCGCCCTGCGTACCATGCCTTCCTTCCATATCCCTGCTAGCTGCTGTATGTGTGTCGCCCTACCTGGTGCATATCCGGCTCCAAGAGGACCATGTCCTGCAGACCGGTTTGCAAGATTAACAAGTAAAGTAACCGTCGCGCTCGCTCAGACGCCCACACACCAACACATACATCTATCGACTGCTGCTCGCTCCATGCATGCACCTATCCAGGCTCCCCGTACCTTGGCGGTCTACTTCAACCAGACCCCGGCTGCCAAGGTGGGCCAGGTGGGGGCGGTGGCGCTCTACGTGCTCAACAAGGGCAGCCTCGACCCCGCCATCACCGCCATCGACCTGCTGCTGCAAACGGTAGGTGCCCAGCGAGCAGTCACGAAGGCGGGCAGCGGTAGGGTTGCTATTAAGGATGGATGCATGGGGGAAATCCAGGCAGCAGCTGTGTGGATGGCCAGCACAATCTACCGTCCGGACACACGCACCTGCTGCTGCCTGCACCTGCACCTACCCGCCCTGCCTCGGCGGCTGATGCTTCCTTGCTTATCGCTGGGGTGCTGTAACATACCGGTACACGAGGATGAATAGATAGCATGCAGTGGATGAACGACCGTCACAATGGTTTCCTAATGGGGAACACGAACGGGTGATGAACCCAACCCTACACTGCAAGGGAAACACGGGTAGCATGTAGGGGTATGTACGACAGCTAGCCCCACGTGCCCGCCCTTTAGTTGCTGCCGGCAGAAACACGCACGCACCTGACCGCTGCTTCTCCCTACCGATCACCCACCCAGCAGGCCTCCACTCAGCAGCAGCAGTGGGCTACCATGTACACGGGTGGGCAGGGGCAGCGGCCGCAGCTGACATGCCCGGGACTCAACCACTTCCCACTGTCAGCCGCGGCGCTGGCAGCAGTGCAGCCGCAGCTGACGTCAGCGGAGGTGCTGGCGGCCGAGGTGGTGGGGGTACGGCTGCATGTCAACGAGGACCACCTTACCAACAAGGCGGACCTGCCCCACCTGGCGGCTGTAGGACTGAAGCTGCTGCAGACCTGATGATGCCCATGCATGCATGTATGCTCGTCGACCCCGCCCTGTTCATCACCCACAGCTACGTACTGCAGGAGACAGTGTTTTGGCGTTTGTCCATTGATGGGGTTCCCAAGGAAGAGGGTCGGTGTTTGCGGCGGGCTCGTGTGCGTGAGTCCGGTTCTGTGGGCGTTGTACCTGGGCTTGCTGATCTAGTTGCCCTGCTGTCTGCTGTTTTGGTGTCAGCTTGGTTTCAAGGAAGCGTTTTGGCGTCTTCCTATTGATGGGGTTCCCTTGCTGGGGAATTCTCATATGTCTAGGGCTCGTCCGGAATGTTGTGGTTGTGGGTCCGTTGTCTTGGGGGTGTCTCCGCGGTTGCATTTTTCTGGGCTTGTCCTGTTGCTCGTGCTGTGGTTGAGCAGCTTGAGGTAACGCTGGGTGTTGCGGTTCCTCGGGCTGCCTTGTGGTTGGCGTTGCCTCCTTCGGGCGTGCAGCAGTGCGTTTGGGATGTTGTTGTTTTGGCTGCTTTGTCCGCTATGGAGGAGGGTCGGCGGTTGTTACGGGCTCGTGTACGTGAGTCCGGTTCTGCGGGTGTTGCGTCTGGGCTTGCTGATGTGGTGGCCCTGTCTGCTGTTTCCTGGTTCTGGGGTCAGCTTCGGGGTTTTGCTTGTTTGGGTGTTCCCCGTCGGGGATGGGCTGGGGTTGGCCCTTTTCATCCTTTCTTACGTTTTGTTGGCGGGCGGCTTTCTGTGTGCCGTTGAGCGTCCTGTTTTTGGCCCTGATGTCTTTGGGGTGGTGTGTTCGTGGCTTCCGGTTTGGGTTGTCTTATGCCCTAGATGAGGTTTGTCGAGGTTTGCTGAGGGGCCCTTTTTTGGCTTCTACCCTCTTGTTTCCCTCCTGTGGTTTCTTTTAGGGCTATGTATCCCATCTTGTTGGCCCGTTGTGGTGCTGTCTCTACGGTTTGTTTCGTTTCTTTTGCAATGTAGGGTTGGGTTCATCACCCGTGTTCCCTTTTAGGGCACCAATGTAACGGTCATTCATTCAGCTCCCGGGTTTTACTTATTTGGGCACCAATGTAACGGTCATTCATTCAGCTCCCGGGTTTTACTTATTTGAGTGTTCCTCGTCGGGCGGGCGGGGTGGGCTGATCTTGGCCCTTCTCATCCGTTCTTACGTGTTAGTGGTGGGGCGCTTTCTGCTGTATTCGGTTGGTTGTTCGGTTTGGCCCCGTTTTCAGTTTGCGAGGTAGGGTGCCCCAGGCACCGTCTGCTGGCGTTTGAACGTATACCTAATCATGTTGGGGTCCGGCTTTGAGGGCGATGTTGTCATGGTTCCTGGGTTGTGGTGTTTTTGGGGTCTGTGTATGTATGCGCCTGTTGCCCTAGTGCTTCCCGAGGTTTGCTGCTGAGGGGCCGTTTCTTGGCTTCTACCCACGCTTTTTGGCCTGCCCTTGATTCTAGGCGCTCCGATAGGCCGCGCCGTGGAAGCAAGGGAAAAGCCTTAGGGAACACCCTGGACTTAAGGTCCACGCAAAATTTCCTATTTAGGGAACATCGCGCACGAAGCCATAACATTGTAACTGTTTCCAGACTATTGCTAAATGTAAGCCACGGTACCTTGAAGAACAGTTGTTTGCACGCGCAGACAACATTGGTATGGGGCATGGGCATAACGTTGGTGTTATGTGGTGCTACTGTGAATGTTGGGAACAACGACCGAATGTGTTTTCCAGTTGTCTGTTGTGAAGGTGCAACGTTGCTGTTAGGAAAGGGGCTGTCGTACACGTGCTTTCTTACAGTGGCGCAAGAGCGACGACCCTAAATGGTACCAGGATCCAAAGTCGGACGAGCTCGTAGCGAGGACGTTATCAACACAAAGTAGCGCATCTTGTCAAGATTTAAACACCACTAGACAGGGGATATGACAGTTAAATAGAAAAACGTAGAGCGCCTGTTAATTGTGATGCTTTGCTCAGCAGCCCTACGGGCTGCTCCTTGACGCATTCCTAACAACTGTAGGTAGTTCAGTAGAGAACGAGGAACACTACTAAGATAAGCCGTCGGCCAGGATACCCATGTCTGCGGCCTAGCCTGAGAATCGCTCGTCATGGCCAGCGTGGTGCATGGTTGTCTACTAGGTTACTGTTGTTTCGTACCGGGAGGGCAAATTATGGAACATTGCCAGTTATCGTGTCATCTTAAACTTCGGCAAAGGAACATTAATGGAGCGGTTAGGGATGGATATCCACCGGGCGAAGGGGAGGCTAAGGCAAGTGGTGATGCACGGGCAGGCGTCTGCGTCTATGGCTGTCTCCGCAAGGAAGCGGAGGAGATGCAGGCGGTAGTCAACGCGTTCTTACACACGCCCAACCCGTCATCCCAGCCCGTGTAGCCATCCATCCGTCTTGTGAACCCCCCTACCTTCACACCCCGCACCTTCCTACGCTCCCCCCTTGTGTTGCCATCACCCACACGCTCTGTGTCCAAACGATCACAGCCAAACCGAGCACAGCCCAATCCCCCCCTAACCTGTGGTTTTGGTATATCTTGTGTTTCCTTACCCTACCCCACCGGTTGGTTGAGTCCCCTTGACCCCTTCCTTCGCACCCCATTTCTTACCACGTCCCCCACGTGCATTGCCGTCACTTCAACGCTGCCCTACGCTCCCAAATGCTGTACCCTCTCCTTCCCTCCGCATGCCGCCCCAACGTCACCTCATCCCACGTAGTTCTCAATGACTCCATCCCTTCCCCAACCCCTCCTGCCGCAGCCCAATCATGGCTGCTGTATGTGCTGCCGCCAACAGACGCCCCCCCGGTACTCCATGCTGGTTGAGACGGCTGTAAGGACATATGGCCAGGGAGTAGCGTAAAAGGATACCACTACCAGAAGCAAAGCTTAAGTTTCGAGGCATCCAACTGGCGCATCCTCAGGATTTGCGCTGCACTGGGTATCCTGGTCACGAAGGTATTCAAGAACCTTTCCTTGTTGTGTACTTAATCAATTAATAAGCGTTGGATTTCGAAAGGATGTAGCCCGTAGGGCTCCTTAGCTGACCGTCGCAATAGACAGCTTCCCAACGCTTTTTGGCAAGTTGAACGTATTTCCTGTTCAGAAATGTTGATTATAGCCAAGATGCTTAAGCCGGGGTTGATAAGCGTCCTCGCTACGAGCTCGTCCGACTTTGGATCCTGGTACCATTTAGGGTCGTCGAGACCCCTCATGCCCGCGGGATCGGGTGACTTTTGCGGAAAAGTCAGCCGTAAAAGTCATCTTCAAACACGGTGACTTTTACCCTTAGTAGCTTAACAATAGATTGTTAGATATAGGCTAATAGTTGACTTTTAGGCTGCTTGTTTAGCGCTAATACGTTCACTTGTTCGTATGCATGCGTTGCCATCCACCACAGCAACAACCTACATACCTCCAGCCTTATTCCTGTTGCCTCCTTTAAGCTTTTTATACGCTCAGCGGCCATTCATATCTCAGGTGTCGATAGGAAAGCGTAGGCCTAACCCCGGGGTCATTCAGCGAGATTTCCGTTGCATAAGCGAGCCTCCTACCTCCCCATTCCCTTGCCCGTGCGGCCGCCCTTCCACACGCGACGCCTGCCAGCCCCTGGCTTTCCCCGTCGCGGCACCTGACTCTTCATACCTCTCCTCGTGTGGCGCCCCTGCTGCTACCCTGCCTTTCCCGTGCTGTGCTTGCCTTCCAATGCCCTTTCCCGTGCATCTGCCCTTCCCCGTGCGGCCCTGTCTCCCCCTGTCATTGCCCGTTCCTCGAATTTACTGAACGGATGAACGGTCGCTACTATGTTCGTTTAATGGCTCTTCCTCGTGAAGCTTCTGTCCCCAAGTCCCCTCATTCCTGCACGCATATGCACCAGTTTAGGAGCACGGCAGGGCGCTGGCCTGGGTAATTCACTAGGACAGGGGGTGTCTGTATGCGCATGCATCCAACAGTTCGATAGTTGGGCGCGACTAGTGTGCGTACGACCATGGGCGCCGGTAGTTGGGCATGTATACAGGCATCGGCACTGATGCACGGGTGGGTGCGTGGGAATTGCCTGGTCGCAGGTGGTTGGGAGGGGCGGTCATGCTTGCGCTCGTGGGTGCCGGTTCCTGGCAGGACGAGAGGATGTCTGCACGCTTGAGCACAGACAGCTGGAAAGGGTGGGATGCATGCGCATGTGAGTGCCAATAACTAGTGCTGCTGCTCGCGGCGTGGATGTTCATGAAAGCTGTGTGGGCTATGTTCACATGGGGCTCATCATAAATATGCTGGGCACAGGGCCCTTCACATCGCGCTGCACGGAAAAAGGCATGGGAAGCAGAACTCGCGTGTAGGGAGGGCCAGGAGGACGATAGGCGCTGCACGGGAGGGAGGGTAAAAATAAGGAAAACTGACAAACTGGATGATGAGGCACGGGAGGGGGGGCAGGTGCAACGCAGGAAAGAACAGGGTTCAAGGCCGCATGTATATTGCTATGCGAACAGTGCCATACGTACTGTGACAGCCGGACGCGTCGTCAACAGTCGGATGTTCCGAGAGGCGGACGCTTCAATGAGGCAACACATACCCACGGATGGACATGCACGTGGACAAACTCCTCACCCCGCCAAACCATGGTGCATGTGCATACCTACTGCGTGATCGAGAGGCACGGGGGATGTGCGGTCCTTTTACCGCATGTTTGGCCACAGACGTTGGGCGTAAGGCGGTCATCAGCGTACATGGTGTCAGTTAGTCAGCAGCATGCAGCAGGGTGCATTGTGGTCGACATGTGGGTCTTTGGGCCCTCTGACGTTATAAGGGTTATAAGCCTGGACGTCCCAGACAGCACGCGTTGCAGCAGCGGCCAAGTGTTTAGCTAGCTATCAACGGTTCCCTTTGGCTATATGTAGCCGGCCGCGCTTTGGGTTTTTGCACATACATGTAAGCGCTGTGCCGCGCATGGTGATGGGTGGTGGATGGATACTTCGTTTTTGTGCGTGTGTGCTTCCATTTTGCCATCCAACAAAGGGGTTTCAACTTTACAAAGAAGGGTCTTTACCCTCCCATACAGCGCGTCAGCTCTTCCGGTGCTGAAAAGGCACGGGTACACATGTGGAGGCAGTATGACAAAAGCGCCCCTACCTCTGGTGTGGCAGAGAAGAAATGAGGGGTAAAGCACAGGGCAGGTCGAGCAGGTGAAGCATCGGGAAGGGCGCGGGGAGGCAGGCGCCACACGGGGAAGGGCATAGAAGTCCCTCAGAGGGCCGCAGCGGCACCATACGGAGGAGGGCATTGACACTGGCGCCGACGGGGCCCACGGGGAAGGGCATGGGAATCCCACGGGAGAACAAGCGGTATTGCGCAGGGGCAGGCACACAGGTAGGCTGGGGCCGTGCAGAGACGGGTCTAAGGACGCAAGCGCCGCACAGGGAAGGGCAGGGAGGGGCAGGTGCTGCACATAAACGGGCGTCGGGAGGCAGGCCTCGGGCTGGCAACGTCATGGAGAGGCAGGCACGGTACGGGGAAGGGCATAGGGAGTTGGGAACCCAACCAGGGGCCGCGAAGCGCATGGGAAGGCAAACGCCGCGCATAGAAGGCATGACGGTGGTAGGCACAGAACTGGCGGGGAAGCGGCAAGGGAGACAGGGGCTGCACGAGGGGAAGGCAGGCGTTGCACGGGGACAGATAAGAGTAGCACCCGTTCCCGCCTCCCCAACATCCATGGCCCCGCGGTATGATTCACAGTTGTTAGGTTACATGACCTATCCTTTGGACGTGGGCATTTAGTCGCTGAAGGACCCCGGGGCTAGCCTGCGCTTTCCTATCGACACCTGCCATATGTAGTGGTCGATGAGCGTGTAAAAGCTTAAAGGTGAGTAAGGCTGGATGTTTGCAGGTTGCTGTGGTGGTGGGTGGCTTCGCATGCAGAAAAAAAAGTAACGTGTTAGCTCAGGAGCTGCGAAGTAAGCAGCCTAGAAGTCAACTATTAGCCTATATCTAGCAATCTACTGTTAAGCTACTAAGGGTAAAAGTCACCGCGTTTGTAGATGACTTTTACGGCTGACTTTTCCGCAAAAGTCACCCGATCCCGCGGGCGTGGGGCCTGTGGGTCGTCGGCGCAAGAGTGCTCGTACCCCTTAAGGGACTCTGAGGTCGTACAGGGCCTCCTGGCAGCGTGCTGTGCTCGCTGTGCTCAGAAGCGTGCTATGAAACATCTTAGAAGGAAAGCAATTCCATATCTTTCTCTGTAAGTGCAGCCCATTTGGTATTCACCTCGCAATCGAAGGCTTAACATAAGTCATTGTCCTTTACCTTATGCAATGAAGTTATAATAACATGTAACCAAACATGAGTGATTCAGATGTAGTGTAGGTCTCCTAGTAGCTGAACACTCCGACGATAAAGCCGAAGCATTCCTTCGCGGTGCTCTCGGGTCAGATGGCAGCGGCGGTTATGAATCTGGGCATGGTAAAAACACCCTCGTTATTGTCGTAAAGAGTACTTTCCGAATATGTGCTTACCTGAAATCACGATTCCGGACCCCCCTCCCGCACATGCCTCGAGCCTACCCTTGAGCCCCCTCCAAGTGCATACCCGCTTTTTCCGTCGCGTGTAG